GGATAAATTATTACTATGACTTACCAACAAAACAACGCCATCTAGTGGTCCGATGGTGGACGAAGAACATCAATACTATAGTTACAATCTACTTTGGATAAATCAATAAATGCGACGCGGGGCAATAGGTGTCACTGTTTACAACTCCGTACGCAATACAAATATAATAAAAAAATAAGTGTTACAAAGTACCTACAAGTAAAAATGTATTTTCACTTAAGCCTTGTGTTAAGTTTCGATTATATTGTGAGTGTATGTTCTAACGTCCACGAATAAATTGTTTTTTCTTTCTTTCTCTTCTTCTCAAACCATCCGTACAGTCAAGTATTGACATCTTTAACAGAACATCAGTCACTAGACAGGATAGTTAACTGTAGGAATTACGTTGTTGTGTAGATGGCGTTCACAACATCACCCGAACAGCTTATTGGCCAATCTGTGGGTACACACAGAATTACTGCCTAACTGATTCATTACCGCAGTGCCTAACCCGCTAGGGATACTGAACTTGAGATTTTGCCAGAAGATGCTTTCATATTGTAAGCACTACCTAAGAACGGTTTTTTTAGCAATTTTACCCCTACAGAGTAAAATAAGGTATAAACGGTTGTATGGAAGTTCGTCATTATTAAAGTTAGAAACGCGAAATTTATAATTATATTAGCTGAGACCCGCGGTGTTACCCGCGTTTGTTGTTATGACCGCGGGCAACGCCGTGGGGCGAAGCTAGTCTAAAAAAAGTAGCCTAAGTTACTCCTTATGTCATCAGCTATCTGCCAGTGAAAGTCCCGTCAAAATCCGTCTAGCCGTTCCAGAGATTACCCTGAACAAACGGACAGAAAGATAGACAGACAGACAATAATTGTAAAAAATGTTATTTTGGCATATGTACCGTGTAAACATACATAATTATGCATTTAGTAAAAAGCGGTTATTTTAATATTACAATCAGATACTCAAATTTTATTTATTTGTATAGATTTTCATGTGAAAGTGAGTTTGTTTGTTTGTTTATCTTTCGCTCATAACCACTAAATCGATTTAATAAAATATATTTACCAATGGAAAGCTACATTATCAGCGAGTACCATAGGATATTTTTTATCGCGATGACCGACATACATGCGGGTTGAACCGTGGGCAAAAGCTAATAAGAATTAATCAAGCAAGATGGTTTGGTATACATTTAGAGCCCACAGTCCTTGTTGAACATGTCCCAAGCCTTAAAATTCAATAAATCATAAAGCGTCAACTCCGTGTGAAGTAATTAGCCCTACGACCCCTGGGGTTGGAGGGTTGGTAAATTATATTAACATGCCTTCGGTAAATCTCTTCGGAGAACTTTACATAAAAAGGTCTGACGTGTTTTCGCTTATATCTTTAAATGAACATGTTCTTCCAAGAAAATATAATTATTTAGTTACTTACTTTTAAAATGTGTCGTAATTGGCGGCGACTCCCACATTCAAAGAAACAGAAACATACTACAGCGCCATCTAATGAAGACTCACCGAACAACGGAGTAACTACTAAATAAGAATTGCTAATCCTGTATCGCGATATGAAGAACCCCCTCGCCGATTAGCATATATACAACTTCCCAACATCAACCGTTGGGGCCGCGGCCCGCCAGGCATGATCACCTCGCCTCGTCGGAGGATCCTCCCTTTGTGTTGGAGGGACATGACACCCGTCCCTCCACAGTAGAGAATGTTACTATAAAAAAAAATGAAATCGATTAAATATAAAAATTTAACATGTTAATGTTTATAAAAATCTGTTAAAATAAATAATAATTATCAATTTTATTAATACTTCCTGCAAATAGAAGGCGCAAATACTTATGCAAGGCGGACTTAATGCCATAGGCATTTTCTTCCAGTCAACCTTGGGGTGATGCAGAGATTTGTGTGTGGCAGGTGTATAATGAGATAAATTATTTAAATTGTAGTCAGTTGCAAGATGTTATACTACATAGATATGGGCATACATTTATAGATGTAAAAATATGAAGACACGAGGGGTTATTCTGAAGACTCCGTTAAACATTCTCCATAGAGCTTGCGTACTCCGATCTTAAAGGTTCGGTTGGTGGACGTCCTGATCTCTAGAGGAAGGGCGTTCCAAAGATTTTAATGGTGTTGATATTTTTTATAAATCTTATAATTTCGTCGCTTTTCACCGAGTGAGTGACTAACAGGTTTCCAAACCTCCCCTCTTCCTGATTCTAAGGAGAGGAGACTTATTAGGCAGCAACAATCAATCTAGCATGGTGAACATAATTTTATTATTTTTGTGATTGAAAGATATTTAGTAAATGCACAAAAACAAACAAACATACTAGCTCTCTAGGACGTGGGAGCGCAACTGAAGCAATAAACTTGGTGTTGAATAACAAATACACAAAGTGTGAACACGAAACGTCTATTCACAAGTTGTCTCCATATTGTTTACTTAGCTTGTTAGGCGACTCGGTTGTTTAAAACTGAGTCCTACACATAAAACCAACTGTGAGTTACAGTATCGTGTTAGTAAGCGGGGGCATTTAAAGCGTTAAGGTTTTAAGCTACACTTACTGTTTTTTTTACACGCTTTATATTAGCTTTACTTGTATGTTTGTTTGTATGTTTGTAACTGACTCCTTTGGGCGTGATTTTGACTGACTTTAAACGATCAGAATTCGTTCAATCTTTGTAGATATATCGAGGACCGATGACAATGCACTAATTTGGGGTGCTTTTTACTATTGACAACAGGCACCCAACGCTTTTTTTCAAATTTATTTTCTATTTTTCATTTTTGTTTTCTATAGAAAGCGTGTTTTTTAGTTTTTTAAAACTATAATTTTTTTTAATGTTAAAGGGGGCAGAGGTGCAGTAGGGTCACCTGATGGAAAGTGACCATCGCCGCCCATGAGCGTCTGCAACTCATTAGTCACAAACGCGTTGCCGGCCTGTTAGGTAGGATTACGCTCTTTTCTTGAAGGTTTGAAGGTCGTATCGGTCCGGTAATACCGCAGACCAACAGTCCAACAGATTAGTTGATTAACTATGAGCTAATACAGTGCTTAGTACAATAGCTTGTATTAATCACATTCTAGAAGAAACTATCTTTAAAGATTTGACAAACTGTTAGTTTAGTGACCAGAGATCCTGATCACTTAGTCAAAAGGTGTAGATTTGATTCTACCTAAGGATTGATACTAATTTATATATAATGCGTAAGTGTTTTGAAATATATTACATCAGTTTGTGTTTCAATACTGTAGTTACCGTAGTACAGACAGCCTCTGCCTAAATTAGGACAAGACTTGTAAAAAGTCCGTGTGGTGACGGATTAAGAATACGGAATGTCACCACCCCTATTCATCCAGTGGGTGTCGTAAGAGGCTACTAAGGGAGCAAACTACGCAGGACAACAGCACTGCAAAGAGAAGGAAAACTTGAAACAAACCCTATATCAACCCGTCTGGCCTTTCCTTAGAAAGGGGGTTTTGGCCTACTATATAGTAGGCCAAAACCTCCTTTCTAAGGAGAGGCCTATGTCCAGCAGTAGACTGTTATAGGCTGTTGATGATGATGATGAAAACACCATCAACTTGATGAATTGGAGAGAAAGAGAAAAATCAAATGCGGAGGAAGAAGGAACTCGATTCTATTTAAAGAATTTTCTTTTTGACGTGACAACGTCTTATAATTCGATGGAGCCGGCTGCACGCACGAAAAAACATGACTCATGCGGCGTTACCTCGCTCTGAGGCGTTCCATTTAAGGCTTGAAGTGCAAGCGAGAGCGCGGAACGAGCGACAAAGAGGCACAATCGGCATCCGCCTTCGGCAGCGTTTGACATCTGTCTCAATAATACATTTACATGTTTTCGTAAAATGCAACCATTCCATCAGTATTTTCTTATGACGTTGTCACGTTCAACTAGCGTCAGTAAACCGACTTTACAGACAACCGATTTTTTTTTGTTTATTAAATGCACAAAACACATTACAATCAATTAAAACATAAATCATAAATACACTGTTTATATCTGGATCGTAAATTAACTCAAACGTGCACAAATAAAAACAATACAGATTATACAAAAATTATCTGTGATTAATATAATATATATATCCAAACCAATCTCACACGGCTGTCTGATCCCAAACTAGGCAGAGCCTGTGCTATGGTAACCAGACTGCTGATAAACATACTTATATATTTCTAAATACATACATATTATAGATAAATTACACCCAGACACAGAACAAATGACCGTGCTCATCACACAATAATATAATATTGTTAAGTAACAAAGTAAGTGAGCAGCTAATGTGATGTAGATTTGGATGCTAATCCAAACCCAACTCACTATGGTAGATGTCTTTCACTAATTTAGTATATCTGTTATAGTTATGATCAAAATATATGACGGGAGATATATATTGACGGAATATTACACCTAATCTCTCTCAGTATTTGACTCTATATCTATCTAATCAAAAATGTAGATACATTGGACTTCCATCAGTAATATATTGACAAAGATTCATAAAAAAATCTGCTTAAACCTTTAAAGAGTTGAATACCATTAATTAATCCTTTTGAAATTTTGGCAATTCCAATTTATGTGTCAGTGTTGGCTCCGTTATGGCATAGTTATACTGTTAAAAAAAACAGGTTGTGTTCCAGAATCGATTTAATTTTTCTCTTCAAATCCCTTGAATGAAATCCCAAAAGTTTATTATTCTGTAATAGAAAAGAGGCTCGAGAGCTCGTTGGAAGCAGACGTGTACTAAAAATATTACCATCTCAATAAAAGCTTTAGTAAACTAAAACCATCTTTATTGTGCAGTGTTTAAACTAGTTTTACATTGTGATCTGTTAATTACTCAAGACTTTGTGCTTCTCACCCGGGACTGAGTCGGCGCGTGCGCAGAACCGCTCACCGCGAGAGTGAAAGAAAGCGTCCGATATTTTCGCCTTCTCGTACGCACTCGGAACAACAACATGAGTGTGCAAAGAACGCCGCCTAGGTTTACATTGGCAAGCGACAGCGAGAGCGGTAGCGGATCGGTCCCAAACTTATCCACGCTCAGCGATGAGGACTTATACGCTAACATTAATTCAAGAAAGCGGAAACAGCGTACGGAAGAAAATGATTATAAAAAAGACTTCATGGACTTCCGCGCGGAAATGATGAACTTCCTAAACAATTTTGGCAAGACACAAACCGAAAACCTGAACCAAATTAAAGAACAAATATTGGATTTAAAGAACGAAATAAAGACCATAAAAATATCTTCAGAAAAATTTGCAGAACAGCTCGAACGTGCGAATACGGATATCGAAAATATCAAAACCAAAACAACCGCTACGGAGGTCAAAATAAAACATATAGAAACCGAAATATCTCAGATTAAAAATCAACAAAATACAAAATGTTCGACTCTGAAATCGCCAGTCGAGTGTCACGAGAATCTCATCCTAGAACTCAAGGACCGATACGATCGCGAGAAGAATATTGTGATAGTGGGTATATCGGAAATAAATAATAAAAATTGGAATTTGAGACAACAGCACGATAATCAGGAAGTTTTGAAAGTAATAACCATGCTTACTGAGGACTGTCCTAAGGCGATTACGTGTAGAAGACTAGGAAAATATGTGCAAAATAAGAACCGACCCATAAAAATTCATTTCGAAAATGCAAAGACTGCAAAATACTTGTTAAAAAATAGAACAAAATTACCTGAAAACATACAGATTTTTTCTGATCAAACCCCAAAACAAAAGCAATACCTAGAATCTCTGAAAGAAGAGCTAAATAAGCGTACACATGATGGCGAAAAAAATCTAACTATTAAATATGTGAAAGGAACACCTACAATAGTTGTCGTAACCCAAAAAAACCAGTAAGCACCCCATTACAAAATGCCAAACCTATGGATAATGCTAGCAGACTGTGTCATGAAGTAGTTAATATATACGAGGACATTTCATTGCATCCGTCTTCTCTCAGATTTTTTTACGCTAATCTACGCAGTATTCGCAGGGCTGGTAAGTTCGACGAAATAAAATGCATTCTAAAAGCTATTAAAATGACTACTCATCTGTTGATTTTTACTGAGACCTGGATTAACTCAGAAACCGATGCGAAACTTTATCAACTGCCGAATTATAATCATATCTACAATTATAGGCAGGACTGTAAAGGCGGAGGTGTCTCCATTTATGTGCACGATAGTATTAAATATAACATAACAGAAGAATTATGTGAGAACGGGAACCACTATTTATGGCTATACATAAACAAACTATCACTAAATATTGGAGCGATTTATAAACCCGGAGGCACCAACATAAATAATTTTTTGGAAATATATTCGTCCCAATTGGAGCGTCGAAGAAGATCAGTGGTCTTTGGAGATTTCAATATAGACTTACTTAGAGCAAACAGTAGCGGTCTAAAATACCAATGTGAAATTCAAGAAGCCGGCTACAGAATTCTAAACAAAATCGACAAGGCATACAGCACACGCGATACGGCCACGACAAGGACAATATTGGACCATGTTTGTACTAACATAAACAACCATTGTCTTAGCCTCTCGATAATCGAATCAAGTCTATCTGATCATAAGCAAATCTATCTCCAAGTGGGACGACTGGAACCTCGACTTAACAAAAAAAAACAGTATAAGGCACTGGACTATGAGAAATTGTACAACAATACTCTAGAAGCAAAATACAACAGTGATGGCCACGATTACTACCACCTTGAGACATTTATATCACAACAAATAGAAAAGAACAAAATAGTTAAGATTAAATTTCTAAACCCACCCCAAAAAGATTGGATTAATCAGGATATTATAAACTCAATCAATGTACGAAACAATTTATGGCAACAAACTAAGTTGGACCCAGAGAACGACGATATAAGAAAGAAATTTCAAAAAGAAAAACAGAAAGTAAAGATATTAACAAACACACATAAGAAGACCTATTACTACAATCTATTTCGTAACTGCAGCAATCGACCAAAAAAAATGTGGGACCTGATTAATAACCTAGGTTTAAATAAATTTAAAGACAGTGTTGCTCCTCCCAAACTGATGTCAAACTCAGGACTACTAACGGAAGGTAACTCAATTTGCGACTTGTTTAACTCTTTTTTCACATCTATAGGAGAAGACTTAGCAAAAAGAATACCTGACACATATCACTCAAACACAGGTAACACACTAATGTATAATCACGACTACACACATGATATAACACTACACGCACTTGCACCCAGTACTACGGAGGAAATAATAAACATCATTAACGACCTCGATAGTAACACGAGCACTGGACTAGATGGGATCAGTACTAAGGCAATAAAATGTCTAAAAACTATAATTGTCGAGCCACTAACAAACTGTATAAATGACTGCTTACTGCATGGTATCTTCCCTGATACGCTCAAGGTGGCTAGGGTCAGTCCTATTTACAAATCTGGAAGTAGAACTGACCCAAGCAACTATAGACCAGTGTCGGTTCTACCCGTAATGTCCAAGATATTCGAACGTGTACTATACAGGCGCGTAATCAACTACTTAACAGACAAAAAATTCCTAATAGATGAACAATATGGCTTTCGCCCTAAATCGAGTACCCTCACAGCCGCGACGGATCTAGTTACCAAAATTAAAACCTATATAGACCAAGGGGGCTATGCTTTAGGAATATTTATCGACCTAAAAAAGGCATTCGACACCGTGAGTCACCAAAAACTGCTAGGAAAGCTAGACAACATAGGCATTAGAGGAACAGCGCATAAAATGTTCAGATCGTATATGGAAAATAGACGTCAAATTGTTAAAATAGGAGATTCTTACTGTAGCTCCGTCCAAAACATGTATTACGGCTGCCCTCAGGGTTCCATCATAAGTCCGTTACTTTTTTTAATTTATGTTAACAATATTAATAAAATCGGATTAACAGGACACCTACAAATGTATGCAGACGACACTGTTCTCTTTTATTTCGATAAGTCAATTCATAACATCATAAGGGACGCTCAACATGACCTCGATCTATTAAACGAGTGGTTAAAATACAACCTTCTAACAATTAACACATCAAAAACCTCATTCATGATATTCACCACTAAAAATAAACATATACCGGACTTCGCGCCTCTTAAAATAAATAACGAAATAATAAAACGGTCAACTAACGAAAAATATCTTGGATTACGGGTAGACGAAAAACTAACTTGGAAATTACACATTGACCACCTCAGAAACAAACTAACATCATTATTGGGAGCATTACGGAAGGTGACAAACTGTATTCCAAGCAAAGTACGTACACTAATTTATAACTCGCTAGTCAAATCACATTTAGAATATTTGATTGAGATATGGGGTACAGCAGCGGTAACTAATTTAAACTCACTTCAAAGAGCCCAAAATAAAGTAATCAAAATTCTATTCCGTTATCATCACCTCACTCCAACAAAAACCCTATACGAAAAAACAAAACTATTAAATATTAGGCAGCTGTATATTTACTATACTTGTATTCTTATCAAAAACATCACCACTAACTCAATCCAAACTAATTTAAAACTAAAGAACAAAACAATGTCACATAACTTGAGAAATAAGAACAAACTCGAACTTATCAGCACACGCACTAATTACGGTAAAAAAACCATATTGTTTGAGGGAGCACAGCTGTTCAATAGATTGCCGGCCGTTATAAAAGAATGCGAAAACGTGAACACATTTAAAAATAAGCTTAAGAAATATGTATGTACATGTAACTTCTAATACTCTAGAGCTAAATTGCATTGTATTATTACTTTTAACTTTGTATCTCATTATAAATGGACTGTATGTTTGTATGAGAAATAAATTCTTTAAACCGAATACACACCGCAATGTTTCAAACTTTCTCTAAATGTAAAGCCGCCATCAAAAAGTTGATTTTAACTTATATTTTTAACCAAATTATAAACCATATTGGAGAATTGTTAATATATATTCTAGTTAGTTCTACTATATTCCTAGGTACCTGATGTATCAACAGTTAGACACGCTCTTGGTTATTAGTAATAAAAAGTTTATTTGCATAAAATGTGGTACAAAAGATGTTAAGTAAATTAAATAATGAGAACAGGATACATTTCGCTATTAAATAGCATGCAAATATTTAGAAGGAAAGTTAAAATAATAAAACATAAGCAACGAGATACAGTTTTGGGTTTGTAGTTGTTAATTAACACAATGCATTTCTAAAATGAAAAGACCGAGTCGCGAATGTTTTTAAGAATTCCTTAACAGAATAAAAGCACTGTCCAATTAGCCATTTCTTTAGTTCAACACAGAATTTATGGTATGGTGAGTTTACAAATTTTTCAGGTCATCAATCATCAACAGCCTTTAACAGTCAACTGCTGGACATAGGCCTCTCCTTAGAAAGGAGGTTTTGGCCTACTATACCACGCTGGCACCAAAAGAAGGAAAACTTGACACAAACCCGTCTGGGTTTGTGTCAAGTTTTCCTTCTTTTTGGGGTGCTGGTATCCTGCGTTGTTTTGCACTCTTAGTCGGCTCTTACGACACTCACGGGATGAATTGGGGTAGTGACATTACGTATTCTTAATCCGTCGCTACACATAGGGTAGGTAGGTAGGGTAGAGTTCACATCATCAACAGCCTTTAAACTCCAATGCTGGATATAAGCGTCTCTTATCCGTGTGGTGACGGGTGTAAGAATACAGAGTGTCACCACCCCTATTCATTCCGTGGGTGTCGTAAGAGGCGACTAAGGAAGATAACTACACAAGACATCAGCACTTCAAATAGAAGGAAAACTTGACACAAACCCTATACCAACGTGGTATAGTAGGCCAAAACCTCCTTTCTAAGGAGTGGCCTATGTCTAGCAGTGGACTGTTAAAGGCTGTTGATGATGATGATGATGTCCTATGATATTTCTAGTTATTTATTTAAATTCTAGAACTTGTGCAGTATTATGATCTGATAAGCAAACATTATGCGTGCTGCTGACTGCATTTGGATTATTACTAACAATGTTGTCAATGCAAGCTGTTTAACCTTCTAGGGACGTGTATAGACACTGCATACCATAGACGAAAATGTGTTTATTAAATTTTATTGTAATAGAATCGCATCCTAAAAATTTATATTATAATCACCAGTAATTATAATTTTGCATTTTTCATTTTCATTAATTTTTCTTTAGTATTTTTATCTTGTAATTTTTATCTTTGTTTTTTCTTTTTGTAAATGTGGAACAGTATGGATCTAAGATACCCGAATAAAGATTATTATTATTCTCTTTATTAAATTATATATACATATTTATTACATTTTAAAATATATTACAAAAGAAATAAAAATAAATAGTAGACCACAGACATCGGGTATAGGGACCAGGACACCGGTGGTTAGGACTCCAAAAGATAGGAACCTCCTCACTATACGAGCCGTGTCAAGGAGGACTGCCTTCTGCATC